ATATCATTTTAAATATATTTTTATTGATTTCAGAGAGGAAAGGAGACAGGGAGAGAGATAGAAACGTCAATGATGAGAGAGAATCATTAATTGGCTGCCTCCTGCACACCCCACTGGGGATTGAGCACACAGGGCATGTGTCCTGACCTGGAATCAAACTGTGATTGCCTGGTTCATAGGTTGACACTCAACCACTGAGTTCCACCTGTCAGGCCAGTGCAATATTTAAAAAAAAAAATAAAGATCAGTGCATAAGTAAAATGAATAAAATAATAATTGTTAAAATAAAGACAACATTATTTTGCCTCAGCACCAATATGGCTCAGCATAAAACTGGAATATAGTTTTGGAGAGTAAATGAGAACAATTCCCAAGAAGGAAAGCAAAAATATAAAGAGATGAAAAATAGAAAAGAAAAGCAAATTGGTAGACTCATCCAGGAGTTTCACTATTTGAATTATGGAATTTCAAAAACTAGAACTAAAATGGATGGGGAAATTATCAATAAAATAATTCAATAGTTTTTAATAACTGCAAAAGATATATTGCAGATTTCAAATCTACTAAGTACTCATTATGATAAATGAAAACAAAAATGAGGTTTGTCATTGTAAATTTTTAGAAATATTGATGTTTCTGCAAACTTTCAGGGATAAGAGCACTTGTTTTCTAACAAATTCAGATGTTTTCACAGGCCAAAATTTTTAAAGGCAAATATATCTACAGAAATTGTGATGGTAAATATTTTTTAAAGGAAAGAACAGAACAAAATGATGAATAAGATCTAAGAAAGGCCTAGATCATTAAATATCGAGATGTTATATGATTCCAAAAGTTACAATGTGTTGGGTTAAATATTTTAACAAAGCATGATTACACAAAAACTTTTGAGAAAAAATTACTTCCACTCTAGACTTCTACATATAGAGACAGTTCTTTAGAAAGTATCAGTCATCCCTAACCAGTTTGGCTCAGTGGATAGAGCGTCAGCCTGCAGACTGAAGGGTCCCAGGTTCGATTCCAGTCAAGGGCATGTACCTTGGTTGCGGGCACATCCCCAGTAAGGGGGTGTGCAGGAGGCAGCTGATCGATGTTTCTCTCTCATCGATGTTTCTAACTCTCTATCCCCCTCCCTTCCTCTCTGTAAAAAATCAATAAAATATATATTTTTTTTTAAAAAAAGAAAGTATCAGTCAAATGTAGGCATAGATTAAATACCACTTTGAATATTCAAGGTATTAAAGCATTATTTTTCAGTATCTTTTCTTAAGGAATGTACTAAAGTATGTTATCCACCAAAACAAAGATAAATATAAAAAATATAAACACATACACAAATAAAATGAGAGGTTTAAATAATGAGAGGCAACAGACATCCCCAGGATAACAGCTGTGTGCTAGATAGAGAGCAGGCCAACTGTGAGCATCAGAAAATTCTGTTAGAACTTTCTTCAGAAAGAGGAAATTGATAAAATACCCACTGTGTCTGACCAGTTTGCGAGAAGATTGAGGCAGCTAGTAAAAACATGGGATGGCTAAATAATAACAACAACAAAATAACAGCAGGACAAGTTTAAGCAAAGTGACTACCAGAAAAAAACAAGAGTTATTTAAATAAGAAAATGAATTACCATTAACTACTTAAGTGTGATGTAAATGTCATTTGCATGGTCAAAATTTGGATTTGTATTTTATTTATATCACAATAAAAATAGGAGGAAAGTGTTATAGGAAGGTTGTGCATGGATAGTTAGGGAGGAGGAAGAAAAGAGTGTTAAATTCTCTACTGTCCTAGTGAAAAATTTAATTGGGACAATCAATATATGGTTCCTAAAATTTAAAATAAAATAAAACAAGAAGTAGCACTTGTACAGAAAGCAGTTGTACAAGTTGAAAGTGTTTCCAGGACTAGGGTGAAGAAAATGAGGAAAGAGAGGGTGACTGCTGTTTTTATAAGTAAAAAGAAATGTACAAACTCTTTCAAAGTCAATGCTTAAGAAATGATTCTGATTACTACTGTAATATCCACTAACTGGACTAATTTTAATACCTTATTTAGATATGCCTTACAAAGTCACACATATAAATAGAAAGCATACACAAATGCTTATACAGTTATACATATAATTGAGTTTAAGAAGTTTACTGAGTATTATTTAACCAGTGATATTAATTTTAGCTGATTAAATATATAAACATATACATGTATTCATGTATGAAGATAGAAATAGAGACGTTCATCTAGAAATAGTGGTAAGAATAAAGAATAATATACAAATAAATATAATTATATAATGAGTATTAAAAGCAACAATTAAAAATTGTATTGGCCCTAGCCGGTTTGGCTCGGTGGATAGAGCGTCAGCCTGCGGACTGAAGGGTCCCAGGTTCGATTCCGGTCAAGGGCATGTATCTTGGTTGTGGGCACATCCCCAGTAGGGGGTGTGCAGGAGGCAGCTGATTGATGTTTCTCTCTCATCGATGTTTCTCTTTTTTTTTAGAAATGAAGAGCCCCAATATTTATTTTTTGTTCAGGGTATGACCTAACAGTTTTATTGCATTTACTGCTCCTCAGGATGCAGGAATGTCTACAGTAATCAGAATTATAAAGCCTGTGGCTCTTCCATTGGGTTTGATGGCATCTCATGTGACAATATAGGTGACAAGGAGCCTGGCTGCCTGCTGATGGACATACAAATAGCACAAAATGTCCACCTGGTGGCTTTGAATCAGCTACCACTACTCCATAGTCCCTGTGCTTTCTTGACATTGAGCCTGGCCTATATTACCAGTCTTCCAGGAACAATAAGACCATGGTTTTCGTTGCTTGAGATTTCACAGCCAATGGTCACTCCCAATCCAGAACTCCAGGCCACGCACTTTCAAAGCTATGCTGCTTCCAGTGGAACGGACAGCAAGCCAACCACAGCTTCTGTTGACTCATCTGTTAATCAGGGATGACCAGATAATTGCAAGACTATCTGCTGTTGTGGATTGAATTGTCTCCCCACCACCCCAAATTCATATTTACGTCCTAACCCCAATACATCAGAATGTGGCCTTTCTTAGAATATGGTCATTGTGGATGTTACTAGTTAAGACAGGAATATACCAGAGTAGGCATGGGGGCCCTGATCCAATATGGTGTCCTTATAAAAAGGGGAAATTTGGAGACAGACATGTACACAGGGACACGACATGAAGATGAAGGCAGAGATGGGTTAATATTTCTACAAGGAACATCATCGACTGCCAGCACCACCAGAAGCTGGGGGAGAGGTGTGGAACAGACCTTCCCTTACAGGGAACCAACCCACTGACCCCTTGACATTGGACTTCCAGCCTCCAGAACTGAAGCAATATATTTCTGTTGCTCTAAGTCACCCTGTTTTTGGTATTTTGTTAAGGCAGCCCTAGCAAATGAATATGAACAGCAGACTAAGTTACTATGTATGAAGAGCCCAACCTCACAGGAGGTTGTTTCCACGGCTCCTCATCCAAACAACAGAACCCCCCACTGGGGCTGAGCTCCCCATTCCTGGACACAATGGGACGGGCAGGGGAACTTAAGTGCCTTTCGAATGATGACAACTGCTTCTACCCCACAACCATTTACCAGGTCCTTCAGGTACAAAGAAATGACATTTGA